CTGAGGTGGCGCGCGCCGTGGCGGCCCAGAAAGTCGACACGGTCATTTTTGATGACGAGCTCAGCCCCGGGCAGCTGCGCAACCTGGAGAAGGCGTTTTCGGGGGACGGACGCACCGCGCGCGTGGCGGACCGGACGGCGCTGATTTTGGATATCTTCAGCCAGAGGGCTCGGACCAGGGAGGGCATGCTGCAGGTGGGGGCGGGGGCGAGGGATGGGCGTGTTTGTGTGTATTGGGAGGGGGAAAGGGTGTGTAAGTGTGGGTGTGGGTGTGTGGGAGGGAGGGAGGAGGGGGCAGGTGTTGTGGTTACGTGCAAGTAAAGGGCGTGGCGGCAGTGGGTCACTCTGCGGCAGCCGGCGCTGGAGGTCCGGCCGCCAAACAGTGCGGCTCGCACGGCGTGCCCCAAGCAATACATGCGCCCGTTGCTGCCCCTTGCCGACGCCTTTGCCCCAGAAAGACCCCCAAAACTCCTCCCCGTCATCGCTTTCGCCCCACCGCCACCAAAACCACCACCACTGCCCAAAAAATCACAACAATCCAGGTTGAGCTGGCCCAGACGGACTACCAGCTTCCGCGCCTCACCCGCATGTGGACGCATCTCGACCGCGTGGGAGGCGGCGGCCAGGTGCGGGGGACAGCTAATCGACGAGAGCAATCCCCCCCAAGCGCGCGGCAGAGCACGAACAGCAATGTCCATCATACGCCCCGCCGGTCCCGCCGGCACACCCCTCCTGGTCTCTTTGCCGTTGTGCCTGATTTCGATTCCATCTGATCTCAGTCCTATGATGGGATCCTTTGCGGCCGAGGGGATTGGCACTACGTGGCATTTCGATTCCGCCCGCCTTAGCAAAGGGAATCCTCGTTTTCCGCGCCGCGCTGCAGGTCAAGGGTGCGGGAGAGAAGCAGATCGAGATCGACAAGCGCCTGCTGCGGGACAAGGCCGCCGTGCTGCGGCGGTGCGAGCGGGAAGGGGGTGGGCGCGCGAGTCTGTGTGGGGGACAAGGGCCGCAGGCAGGGCCCCTGGTGTGCGCCCGCCGGCGCCCCTGCTCTGGCACTTGCCGCGTCGCTGTCCGCCATCCCGTCCCTATGTGTAGCACCTGTTGATACAACCCATAACTGCATCAAAGCGATCGAACAGTGTTCGAAAACACCTTCCCGCCAATTCTTGCATTTTCGAATTCGAACGCGGCAGGGAACTGCAGGAGGTGCGGCGGCACCGGGCCGCCCACAGGGAGCGGCGCGGCGCGGCGCCCATCCCCGTGGTGGCGCTGGTGGGCTACACCAACGCCGGCAAGAGCACCCTCATGAACACGCTCACGCAGGTGGGTGGTTTGTTTATGATACGGCTGTTTCTCAACGAAGGTTATGGTGTAATTGTGTGTGAAATCGTGTGTGTGCACGCGTGTGTGAATCTGCGCGTGAGCTCGTGTGTGTGTGTGTGTGTGTGGTGCTGCATGTCTGGTTGTGTGTTTGCGTGCATGCGCCCGCGCCAAGAGCACCCTCATGAATACGCTCACGCAGGTGGGAGAATTTTGTTGATGCGGTGATTTCTTCGGGAGGGTGATTATGTGTGTGTTTGCGTGTGTGTGTGTGTGTGTGTGTGTGTGTGTGTGTGTGTGTGTGTGTGTCAGTGTGTGTCACTGTGTGAGAGAGAGAGAGAGTGTGTGTGTGTGCGTGCACGCGCGCGCGCATTTGAGGTGCATTGACAAGGAGGATGTGCCGCAGATTTCAGGTGACGAAAAGGCCCTGACGCCTCCCAAACCCCGGCCCCTTGTCGCCAGGCGGGCGTGCTGGCGGAGGACAAGCTCTTCGCGACGCTGGACCCCACCACACGCAAGGTGCGCCCCCGCCGCACCGCACGGGCGCCCGCTTGCACCCTGCAATGCGCGTGTTTTGGCGGGGACGCGGGGCGCCTGGGGACCCCAGTCCCCTTCTTGCACCGCCCCTCAAACATTTGCACCTGCAGCGCCGCCGGCCGCGCGCCAGCCACCCACGCAACACTGCCACGTCCGACACCCAGCCCACGCGCCGCCTCGGCCATATCCGAGCACCTGTCCGCCCGCCGCCATCCAAAACGGTCCGGCTTGATACACCATGATCTGATCTGATCTGGTGTGATCTGGCGCAGGTGCGCCTCCGCAACAACCTGGAGGTGCTCTTCAGCGACACCGTGGGGTTCATCCAGAAGCTGCCGCCCCAGCTGGTGGCCGCCTTCACGGCCACACTCGAGGAAATATCAGACGCCGGGGTGAGTCTAAGTCGAGTTTGACGGCGGCTCTGGTGGTGGCTGCGGCACGCTCCCCTGCTTTGCCCGCTGCTCGCCCCGCAGCTGGGTCGCCTTGTCAAATTTTGTTGCGGTGGACCGCGGCATTTTTTTCAAAAAGGGGGGTAGGGTTGGTTGTACCCAGCCCAGTGCCCAGGGGGCTGGTTGCGCCCAGGCTGGGCGGCGGACTAAGGGAGGGGGGGGGGGCGTGGTCGGCCCCCCCCCCCCTCCCTTTTCCCCCCCTCCCGGCAAAGCTGACGGCCGCCCTATTCAAGTGCCGAGCGCGCCAAGCGGTCTCGCGGCCACGAAAGGGGGGGGGGCGTTGCACGCGGCGCGGATCCCTTGAGCCGCGGCGAGCTGGGGTCACCTTTCAGGGCGCCTTGCGGCAGTCCCGCGCACCGAGGCGGCGGGCGCCGCGCCACGCGCAGCCCGGAGCGTCGGGCGCTGCCTGATCCCCCCGCCAGGCTTCCACTGCCCCGGTCATCATCGTGCGCACCCTAACCCCCGCACGAGCGTCCCCCTACCCCCTCTACACGACACACACACACACACACACACACACACACACACACACACACCAAATTGACACTCACTGCACCTCACCCCACCAACCCCCCCAAGGTCGTGCTGCACGTGCTGGACGCGTCCGCCCCCAACGCCGTGGCTCAGTGCGACGCCGTGCTCAAGGTGTGACGCCGCGCAGCACTCGCTCCTCCAGTTCCGCTCGGCCTTAGCGTCTAGTGTCTAGGGTTCAGGGGTGAGGCGTTACCTGCGCGGGGGCACATGGGCCTGTCCGTCAGCGTCAAGGGTACGGCGCAGCAACCCAATCGCAACACCCGGACGACTCGAGTCTTTGGCGGTGGCGCCCAACTCATCAGTGACACGGGGCTGCTTGGGGTGGCCGGCCACCCTCCTGCCAGCCACCCTTTTTGCGACGCCTACCCTGCTGCTCCCACAGTCACCGGCCCTCCTTGCCCACGCCACCCTCTCCGTGGCTCCCGCACCCACACCAACTCCACGCATGGCAGCCTACCACCACCCACGACACACACACAATCACACACACACACATCTACGCACACACGCAGACACACACATACATGCACACTCACACAACACGCACACACACACACACACACACACACACACACACACTGAGGAGCTCAACGACACAACCCCCCCCCTCAAAACCCCCCCACCAGGTGCTTGACGAGCTTCGTGTCCACGGGGCCCCCATAGTGACGGCCTGGAACAAGATAGACGCCTGCCCAAACCCCGACGCAGTGCGCGCGCTCGCCGCGGGCCGCAGCGACACGGTGGGCAAGCCGCGCGCGCGCGGGCAGCGCTGTGAAGTGCGCACGTGCCAGCAATTGTATCACCCGGGCTTGCACAACCACGTGCAAGAGTGTATGGGCCCACAGACTGATGTGTGCATGCACATGTGCGCAATTATACACTTGGATACACTCACCCATATTGCCACACACACACACTACTCACACAAACACACCCGTGCATACTTACACACGCAACCCACGCATATACACACACGCGCACACATACACACACACGCACAGGTCGTCATCAGTGGTTACACCGGTGAGGGCATTGAGCGGCTGCTGGAGGTCATCGCTGACACACTGGCCGCCAGCATGGTGGACATGGAGGTGTGTGTGCGTGTGTTTTGTGTGTGTGTGTGCGTGTGTGTATTGTGTGTGTGTATGGTGTATGGTGTGTGAGTGTCTGTGTGTGTGTGTGTGCGCGCACGCGCGCGCGTGTGTGTGTTGTGTGTGTGTATGCGTGTGTGTGTGTGTGTGTGTGTGTGTCTGGGAGGGTTTGGCATAGATTTCTGATACCTGCAGAAAACCGCAGCATTCCCTCTGCGCCTTGCCTCGCCACCCCCAGCCTTTTGCGGCCGCGGCGGCCCTCGGCGGTGCCGTCGCACGCAGACACTCGCCGCACGGACACTCCAGCGCCCCCTCCCAATGTCAAACCCTCTCCGCCCCTCCCCCCAAATCCCCCCCCCCAGCTGCTGTTGCCCTATGCGGCCGGCGACCTGCTCGACGAGCTCCACAAGACGGGCAGCGTCAAGAGCCTGGAGTACGAGGAGGGCGGCGCCCGCGTCTCCGCCGCCGCGCCGCGCCACCTGGTCGGCAGGCTGCGCCCCCACCAGCTCGGCGGCCCCGGCGACAGCGGTGCGCCGGCGTCGGCGGTCGGGTCGTTCGAGGACGTCGGAGATGGGAGCTTATGGGTGGAGTCGGGCGGCGGGTGGAGCGACGGCGATGAAGACGAGGAGGAGGGGCCGGGGCGGCTGGGCGTCGGCGGCTACTATGGGGTCGAGGCTCTCGCGCTGGAGCTGGAGGGCGAGGAGGAGGACGCCGAGCTGGCGGCCGCGGCGCGGCTGCTGGAGAACGGCGGCGCCGGCGCCGAGCTGAGAGACCTGCGGCAGCGGCGGCGCCGGCGGCGCGGCGGGAGCGGGTCCGGGTCCGGCGCGGATGAGGAGGGCAGCCGGCGGCTGTTTGCGCACCGGCTGCCGCCGGATTGGGATGAGGTGGTGTATGCTGGGGACGAGCGGGCCGTGGCGGCGGCCCTGTTTTGACGGGCGCGTGCCCGTCTCACGCGGTGCCCGCCGCTGGCTTGTCGATGCGCCCAGTGGCTTTTGATGCGCTATTGGGGTCTTGCAGGAAGGAGCTTGCAGTGCACAACTCTATGCATTTACAGTACCAACGTTTTTACGTGCGTGTAAGTGACCCAGCTTTTGTACAACGAGGTGGACGGATAATTTGGAGCGGGTCCCAGCACGGTTGCCAGCGGGCGCATGTGCAGCGGCTGGACGATCATGCGGCCTGCGCTGCTGTCCTGGTATGCTCAATGTTGGGCAGTGCCGCAGCCCTTGACCACCCCCAGCTCATTGATTGGACAAGAGCCGCAAAGCAAGTTGAGGCCTGGACGGCACAACCAAGGGAGCGGGGCTTGCCGGGAGGCTGCAAACGGCAGCGAGACAACAACCACACGGCAGGTGGCCGCGCCTCTGAATGATCCCTAGACCGCTGGCCAAGCAGGTTCTCCAGTACCACCTGCGCACAGATGTGTGGGCCTGAAGACTGACTGACCAAGGCAGCGCTGGCGTCCGGCCTTGGTTCGCCTGCCAAAACGGTTATGCGACAGTTCACCTGTCCGTGTGCCCACCACACCGCCGTTATCAAATTGTGCACATCGGTGCCTTGCGCTCCCGGCTGTCGTTCTTAACCATATGCACATGAAATTGCTGGCTACAGCCCTGTTTACGGCTTCCTGATCGTCTTATCATCGATCACTTGGATCATCCGTTGTTCATGACGCTGCTGCTTGCAAAGCGTCAAGGTGCGGCGCGCACGTGCATGCCACCACAAACCAAACACTGACCTTGTGCTGCGCCAGGGGTGGGTAAATGCAGTGCTGATGACGTGCTGATGTCATGCAGTTCAGGCGTGCACGCATGCAGCGACGCCACACGGCACCACTCTGCATGTCAAATAATGAGGCTCGACTTGAACTCAACAGGAATGATGATATGTGCGTGCAGCCTATTTGACACATATATAACTCAGACCACCAAAGTGGTTTCCAGGGTGCAGTAGATCATCATGCCAGTGACTCACGGCTTTCTATGGGATTCGCAACGACATGCAAACAACAATGCTGCAAAGAGAAAGCAAAATTCTTGTGTCCAGGCTCGCGATCCTAGGGTTTTGGCGACGCGGACGCCAGCCAATCGACAAGGTCGGCAGCTGCCTGGAAGTTGCCGTAGCTTGGCGGCAGCCTCCGGCCATCCACGTACTCGTTGTACAGCCAGGGGTCCCCGACTGCAAACACCCTGCCCTGCCCGTAGCTGCTGACCGCCACCACCACCGCCCCGCCGTCGTCCCTCAGCACGGCGCGCGCCGTGCCACCGGCGAGCTGCAGGCTGCTGTATTCTTTAATGAACAGGTCGCCCGGGGCGAAGATCTCGTTGCCAGCCGGGATGACGACCTTGCCCGCCGCGAATTCCGTCCCCGGGACGCGGCCCCTCGTGTCCCCGGCGAACCTCAGGCCGAAAGCGGAAGCCAGATCGTTAAATCGGGTGAGCTCGCAGTTGCCGACGTTGTTGCCCATCAGGACGAGTGCGCCGCCGGCGCCAACCCAGCCGCGGATCGCGTCGACGTCCGCGCGGCCGACATAGTTTGGCTTTGAGGACTCATTGCCCGTATCGGGGTCGACTATTATGTACACGGCCGCGCCCTCCAGAGCCGCCGCCGTGGGCGGCCCATACAACGTCCGCAGCTCGAACCCGGCGCGCTCAAACACGCCGGCGAGGAACGAGAACCCGCCGTCGCCGCGCTCGCCCCATTTGTAGTGCCACGATTGCGCGTGGCCGCTCTGGTCAATCCGCGACTCATTGTTGAAGTACGAGTCGAGCAGTACGACCCTGCCGCGGCCAGGCTTGGGCAGCGCGGCGGCCTCCATTTCATTGGCCGCCATCAGGCACGCGCCCAGCGCCGCAGGACCCGCAGACACGCCGTCTGAGGCGGCGGCGCCGCCGACAGAGAACGCGGCCGCGGCGCCCGCGAACGCGCCGCGCGCCACCGCCGCGGCGGCGCGCGCCGCGGGCGGCGGCAACCAGCGGCGGCGCGCGGCCTTCGCGAGGGCATTTGCCACGAGGCACGAGGCGGCGCGCGCTGGGCCGCTGGGGGCTCCGAGTGCTTGCGGCTCGTCCCGCCACAGCCCAGCCACGGCGCTGCCCGGCCGCACGACTGCGTCCGTGTAAGCACCCATCAGGCCCACCAAATCCGCCCTTGCAGGGTGGTCACTCGGCAAGGCGTCAAGCACGCCCACAAGCGCTGAGCCAAACGCGGCCATGCGCGGCGCGTCGAAGCCGCTGAAAGGGGCCCCGGCCGAGCCGCGAGCATAATTAGCCGTCCATTTGGCGGCGGCGTCCAAGGCGGGCGCGTCTCGGACCAAAGCTGCGTACCGCGCAAAGAAAGGCAGGCTCTCGAGGGGCGGCGGGACGCTCGTGCCCGCCGGGCTGCCGCCGCCGCCGCCGCCGAGGGGTCGGGTGAGCGCTTGCAGCTGCTGCCATTCGGAAGTCGCTTGCTGGAAGTACTTGCGCTCGCCCGTCACTAGGTACAGGGTAAGCAGACCGTTGCCGACGGCGCCGGGGCTTGCGGCGAAGTGTGGGCCGCCGGCCGCCAGCGTGTCTGTGATGTTCTGCAGCAGGCGGAAGTACTCGCCCGCCGCAGTGCGCTGCCATAGGCCGTCGATGCCCTCCAACGCTGATGCTGCGGCGGTCGTGTCCCACTGCTGCGCTGCAACAGCGGTGCGCGCAGCCTGCTGGGCACCCCAAGCGGCGGACAGCGCCCCCGCCAAGCGCCGCGACAGGGGCTCGGCCGCGGGATCAGCTGCTACAGAATTTTGCAGAACCAGTAGGACCCCGAGAGCCGCTGTAATAAGCGGCCTCATCCTTCTGCCGGACCGCTGTCAGACTACGGTAAATGATCGATTGCGTTTTGCGACGTCGTGAGGTGTTTGGAAGTCAGTTTAAATGTAATGCACAGCTCATTACTACGTGTTCCAAAGCCCTTGAGGCTGTGTTGGAAGGCGACCAACCAAAACCAACCCAACCTCCACCATGACCAAACCGTTTCAATCATTCAATCCTGGGTTTGGGTGTTGCGCATGCCGCCCAACCACGCAGTGCATCCCTCAATCGACTTACATGACCTGAGCACTGGTTTAGTGATGGGTTTGGGCTGTGAACGCCGCGCTCGGCAGGTGCTGGGCCAGAGGCAGCCGCCAACAGGCGGCTCCCAACTTCTCGCTCTCCAGTGGAGGGGAGGCTGCTGCTACAGCTGACTAACCAAAAGCCGAGGCCGCCGATGTTTACAGCGGCAAAGATGAAAGAACGCTCGCCGCGGCAAAGTCGCGGCGACCGCCATCGATTGATTGCGTGGCATGTGCAAGGCCTGGCTTCATTGGTACAGCCCAGCTGCAGATTGTGTTTAACGATATGTCATTGTCCGGGATCGCTGCCACGAAGCTCCTTCTACCTCATGAGCAGGAATTGCGGCAAACATCGTACAGCCAAGTGCGTGGTCCCCTCGCCCAGGCAGGGTGCCATGCGAAATGTGGCCACCTGTTCCAGGGCCTGCCACATCATCAACCGCGAGGGGCGCTGGCGCCTGGGGATGCTTCATGGCGGGCATGCTTACCAGCACCCGCTACTGCGATCCGGAGTCGCACACGTACTCACGTGCACACACACACGACCCCGCGGCCCCGCGCGCCGCCCCTGCTGACCTGGCGTGGCAGGCGTTCCAAGGCCGTCTCTGGAAAATTGTCGTTGTACACCCATCACGGAGCGAGGCCAGGGGGCGGTCGGGGGCGACGCGGATTATTGTGACATTGCTTGCGGGGGCTGAGGGCAGCATGCTGCAAGCCGCCAATAAACAGGACACTGTTGCCAGGGCGGCTCCCTTCAGGCGGGGGTGCTGCGCGTCCACGCCATGTGCCGTCTGGTCGCATGATACATGGCAACGACGTGTCCCGAACGCACCCTTTTGGCTTTACAATTTGCGTGGTGCGGCCCCACAGCACCCCCCCTCCTTCACCCGAAAACAACTAAAAGCTGCCCCAACTCATGTAACACGATGCGGGCTGCACTATGCCATGTTTTGCATCAGGCTGCTGGTGTCAGCCTCCAAAATGGCCTGGGGAATCAGGGCGGGGCGGGGAGGGGGGCCCTGGGGCGACGTAGGGAGGGTTGATGATG